TTTTGCTTAATTCTTTCTAACAATTAAATTAAATTAGGTTTTACTATTATTTTACTTAGGTCATCAATTAAAGCTTTTTTTTTTCTAGAAAAACCCTCTTTTGTCTATGCTGCTTTATTCTATATATATATGTGTGTGTGTGTGTGAATATAGGATTTCACATTTAAATTATTAATTTTAAAAAGCAGGAGGTTGAAAGGCTTGTCAGCCAGCATACAAAAGAAGCCAAAAACAGCAATGATGAAACTGCTTACCAAGTTTTGGCTAGAGAGCACAAGGCTTTGCTTAAGGAAGCAGAGGATTGGATGAAAGGATTAGCAAGTTCATATATAATTGTTGGCACTCTCATCATCACCATAATGTTCGCAGCAGCTTTTACCCTTCCTGGTGGCAACGATGAATATAAGGGATTTCCAATATTCAAAAACAAAGCAACGTCTCTGGTATACATAATATCCGATGTGATCTCTCTGTTTGCTGCAGCTGCCTCAGTAATAATATTTTTGGGATTTCTCACATTACGTTACAGCATGGAAGGTTTCCACAAATCTATTCCCAAGAGGTTGATGGCTGGGCTTTTTACTCTGTTTGTCTCTCTTGCAGCAATGATGATAGCATTTTGCTCGGCTATTTTTCTCATGCTAGAAAATCAATGGTGGATTATCATTCCATCTGTCTTGCTTGCGGGCATTCCAGTCAGCTTGTTTGCGTGGTTGCAATTTCCTCTACTTGTTGAGATTTATGTTTCAACTTACAGATCACCAACTCTCGGTGAGAAAAGATCCTTGGCAAGCAAAATAAAAGCATTCTTCTTTGGGAAAAAGAAGATTGAGAAGGTCTAAATGAGTCTTTGTTTTATGTTTGTCTTAGTTGGTACCGTAGCAATCTAAGGTCCATGCTTGGTTGTAAATGAATATTAATTTTATTGCCACTTTGTTTTTGTTATGCAATAAAATTCTTCTTGTGCCTGCATAATTTTCTGAGTTCACATATAAGGAAATTGGTGTCCACATATAGATACGATGCCTGGCTTTGGATCTTCGAATGCTAATCCGACAAAACAAGCTAGTAAAGAGGCATGCTGCATAACTTGTACCTATAATTGACGATTAAGATATTAAATTTAGGTTTATTAAATATTAACACCTAAATTTGTGCTTACTCACTTTTTTTTTTTTCTATATAATTGAGGATTAAGGTATGGAGATGGTCCACGTTTGAATTTTAGAGTTTTAATTACCATTAAAAGAGCTGTAATAATTGACTCATAATAGTGATTGGCTTGAACTTCTTTTTTTTTTTTTTTTTTTTTTGACCTTGGGAAATTTGGAGTAAAGGGAGTAAGACCTGATTTAAAATTCAAGTTTTTGGTGTGCTGACACTTTTTTTTTATAAAGGGATGGTCGGTAAGTCATTTAATTAGTATCGGACGGCTTGAACTTATTTACTTTCGAATGGAAAGAAAGAAGAAAAGATAGAAATGTGAGAAAATGTTATCTGCTGTATAACTTAATATTAAAATTAAAAAAAAAAAAAAGGGTAATATGATTTGACCCATTGGTCGAAGGCTTTGCCGCTTTGGAATCGGTTTTGTACTTATTTACTTTTGAACAGGACGAAAGAAAAGTAGAAATGTGGGAAAGGGTTATCTGTTGTGCAATTTAATATTAAAATACGAAAAAAACGGGGTTCCTTCTGTGCTATTCAAACGGTAAGAGCTAGGATTATATATATATAAAACTATATTAGTCTCGTATTTTTAAAATAAATTATAATTATAATTTTAAATTATTTTATTTTATTTAATTAAAATTTAATTCAAAATTTAAAATTGATTATATTATAATATGTAATTAGTTTCTAAATTTAGATATTAATATTTAATATAGCAAATTTCTAAATTTTGAATTGAAATTTTGATTTTTAAATATAAATTTGGATTTTAGTTTTTTTTTTTTAAATTAAGAATAGTACATATTAATCTCATATATATATATATAAGTCATGCATATAGAATCCTATCTTATAGTTCAAAAACAATGACTATTAAATGAGGAGAAAAGCCTCTAATATTAGGGTCTCATTCCCATCTAATAATTAGTATTGACTACACTACATTTTTTTATATAAATAATATATAAAATTTGCACCTCAATTGGTAAGACACCTTTTTTTTTAATGATCACAGTGTTTTTAGACCAATTTATGCATATCTCAAAATTACTCTCTTCCTCAATTTAATCAAAGGTAAGATATCTAAGTTCAAACTAAAAAATTTAAGTTAAATGTCAATTTTGGCCCCTTAACTTTAAAATTTTGTATAACTTTCGTCCCTCAATTTCTTTATATACTTTTTTGGCCTCTCAACTATAAAAATATACTGTTTGAGTCATTTATTCAATTAATCCGTTAAGTTTGTCTAAATATACACATTTTTAATCTCTGAACTTAAAGTTAAAGGGACAAAATATATGTATATATTATAAGTTGAGGAATTTAAAATATACATATATTATAAGTGGAGGGATTAAATATATGTATATTTAGATGGACTTAAAAGATTAACAGATGTAAAGATTAACAAAATATATTTTTCATAGTTAAGAGGCTAAAAAAATACATAAAAAATTTAAGAGACAAAAATTATGTAAAGTTAAGAGACTAAAAATGACATTTAACCAAAAATTTATAAAAGATTACTTTTTTTATTGGCAAAAAAAGAAGAAGAAGAAGAGATTAATCCCTCTCTTTTCCTGTCACAGGCATGTCTCTCTATCTTACAAGAAGGGTTCCAAGTTCCAACGCCTTGCACAGAATATGCTGGACTAAGTGAATGGGCCCCTCTTTCTTCTTTTGGATCTAGATACATGGGGCCGCGGTCATCTAGATAGCCCAAATCATTACCAAGAAAATCTATGTAAGCCCAAAAACAAACGCCCATGGGCTACCTTCAAAGCAGAAAGTTCTAATGATTTTAACGGGACAAAAGTAGTAACTTAGGATTTCAACTTTATCACAATTTCTAATTGAGGACCAAATCTAAATATTTTCTTAATCCAGGATTCCAATTCCTCAAATTTCCTATTTTAGGAATCATCGATTGGTAAAATATTTAGATGGGGGTAAAAGACAGAATTTGGAATCCTAATTCACAGCTTCTGCCTCCGAATTTTCGTGAAAATAATACTGTACTGCAATTTATTTTATGAATTTTTTTAATTTATGTTACACAAAGGTTAAGATTATTTTTTTATTATAACTATATATAAAAAATATAAAAATTTATATTAATTTTAG